ACCAGTTTACACCTGCAACATCAGTGAAGATAGACTGGTTTAAAAATGGTGGAATCTGGTCTAAGATAGACCTGGATTGATGTGGTCTCAGACTTAATCAATTTAGTTTAGATTGGTATATCAAACTTCTGTACCAGATCCCCTACCAGCTCAAGTTAAGTCACCAGCATCCCAGACTACTTTATGGCTTCTCACTAGGTCCCCCTCACAGGGAGGTTTGCTAGCAGCTGACCCACACTTGGCTGCTGTAGCTGAGCACTTAGCTGGCCCCAGCCCACACCTGGGCTCTCACAGAGCTGAATCAGTGAAGCCCTTTTGCTCAGCCCAGCCCAGCCCAGCCCAGCCCAGCCCAGCCTCCTGCTTTCAGCCAGCTGTGAGCTGCAGCAAGGGGTCAGGTTGGGGGAGCCAAGGGAGTGTTTGTAGCTCAGGATTTTCCATCTTTATATGATGTCCCTAGGTGGAGAAGCAAGAAGAGGTGCTCCACAGAAGGAAGGGTTGGGCCATTTGGAGCTCTGGTGAGCTGCAGGTGATGGTGCCAGCAGGTGCCTGGGATTCCCACCCATATGGCTGGGAAAGAGGCAGCCTGCAGAAGGACTGACTGGGCTCTGGCAAATGGCAGAGCTCTGGCAAATGCCAGGTGGCAGCAAGAGGTGTCCAGCACAATTGCAGAAATCACAATTGTAGGGATTGTGCTGGGCACCTCCTTCTGCTACCTGCCATTCACCAGAGCTCCAAGATACCCTATCCTGCTTTCTGTGGAACGCATCCCCCCTCCCCCCGCAACTGGTTGGGCTGCCAGTTATGCCATGGTGATTCTCCTGGAAGCCTAGGGCTGGGTGTGGGGGAGGTTCTACAGTGCCCAGCAGCCAATTGGGGTGGCTCAGCTACTTGGCTCCACTCAGCAGTCTCCCACAGTGTGGGGAGCCTATGGGGCATGGTGGTGGGCATTCAAGAGCACCCCCAACCTGCTTGCCTGACCATCAAAGAACAAGCATATGTTCTGTTCACTTCTGATCTAACATATGCCACTTACAGAAACCTGGATAGCTTAGATCAACTCCACCTTAGGTTTTTTGAACATCTGTACTTAGCAGTGACAATGTGTAGGAGATGCATGGGGGTGCACATGCACCCCCTGAGAGGTCTGGTGCACCCCCTGACAGGTTGTGTTCCCCACTTTGGTGATGGGCAGGGGGGCAGGTGGGAGCATTGGTGCCTCCCATCCCTCCCCCTGCCCCCGCCCTGCAAGTGCTGGCTGGGGAGTGGAGCTTCCAGGAGTGCCACAGCCACTTCTGGGAGCACCATGGCCACTTCCCAGTTAGCATGATCAGCCGCAGAGGGATCCCCCCACTACTGGTAGGCACGATTGGCCATGGGCCCCACCCCCTCCCATTGCTGACTGGTCACTGGGGGGTATGTACCTCCCCTGACTCGGGTGGCACCAGTCACCCATGGTACTTATAGAGGTATCAGAATAAGAATATTTCTGAGAATGACTGGAACTTAACGTGTCTTTTTTCTGGGAGATGATCCTTAGCTTTTTCTGTACCAACATCCTTTAGCATCAGGACACCCTGATTGTCTCTCTTCTCCTAAAAATATTAGAAGATGCTACGGTTCTGTTCTTTAAGGTGGCAGGCAACTCCTGAAGGTATTGAGCTCTAGTTTCTATTCCTTAGAGAATGGAAGCATTAGATGCCATTACTTCGACTTGAAAGAAACTAGCTATGCAAAAGGAATCCTCATCCCTCTAGAAGCTAACTTTGCCAGTAACAGAAACAGTAAATTCAGAGGTGAGGGTGAGCCTGAGTTTGTTCAATTTGCATCATCTTCCATCATAATGCCATATGTATTAACCACTTTTAGAATTGGAACAATCCCTTTTATTAACATATGCTTTGCCTAGGCACCATCTTTTAATTTAATCACAGAATTTATCCAATATGCCCAAAAGCAGACTACTCACCAAAGATGTGGGAGACGTAGGTTCAATTCCTTCCTTTGCATATTGATATTAAATTCCACATATTTCACATCCGCAGGAGCTGTGATTGGAAACCAGCTGTCCAGCTTAAAAGTGCATATCTTTAACTACCCTATGCTAGGGAGTGATTCTTGTTTACTTGCTCTCTCTCCCAATAACTGTTTTAAGGGTCTTGTCACACGTTACACTTATGATGTATTAACTGCACTTAAAACACAGGTGTCCACGTGTTCAAGTAGTAAAACATATGCTAAGTGTGATCATATTTTGCTATGTATGACTGCATCATAGCATATTTAGGACTTTTTAGGGGAGGAGTATCTTTAGATAGTATTATGTAATACGTGTTCAGTTATCGTCCAACTGTTCCACTCCATAGACATACCAGCATATCTTGTTCATTGGTGGTCCCAGCTCTGGCACTGAGCAGAGTCTTGAATCAGCTCTGTGTAGTCTTCCACTATCGCACATTACACTTAGAGATCATAATAAACATTATCTTGCGACTACTCAGAACATTTTTTAACTTCTAATATAGCACGGTAATGCCTACTACCATCCAGATAAAATGCATGGTAAATGTCCTGTGCTATATGAAGTGGAATAGTGCTATAATCACTCCTGTTGGCAACGGTCTCTGAAAGACTATATAGATTGACAGTACAGGTTCTTCCTGATTATGAGAGGTGGTTTGTTTTCTCTCTCATTTTTTTCCCTCGTTTCACTCCTCCCCTCCCTTCTCTGCCCATTATTGTCCTAATTTCCACCTATTTACATTCTCACTGACATCCTGTCACACTTTTAGCTTTTTTCATTCCTTAGAAATTTCAGAACAGCAGAGTCTCCCTATGCCTGAAGAAGGGTACTTGTTCCCGAAAACTTGCAAAGAACTTTGTTCCAACTACTCAGTTGGTCTAATAAAAGATATCTACTAATATCTAATAAAAGATATATCTACCCAAGGAACCTTGCCTGCCTATGTCCTTAGATCAACATGGCGACACCAAAAACCCTGCAGCATGGGTGACCCAGGCATAGAAGCACACCATTGTTGTTTCTCTTCCCGAAGTCAATATAATTATTTACTACATATTCATCCTTATGATTATTTACAGCTCTTGTACAGAAAATGAACTGCGGTACAAAGAGTTTATGTAGCTTGCCAAAATCCTGCAGAATGCATATAACAGAGTCTGGAAGAAGCCAAAGATTTTCTCAAGTTCCAGGCTGTGCATTCATCACATGTCTGTGCATCTTCTCATTGTCTCATCTCTTAATAGATGGAAGCAGGTGATGTCAGTAATGTTTTAGTTTCATATAAATATGGACTGTATTACTTGGGCTTCACTGAAGAAGAGGATGAAAACAGACCTTAACATTCTATAATACACTGTCCAGGTATCATACAAAAGAAGCTAAGCTCCAAGGCTATTTTCTATCTAATTTATAAAATTAAATCACAAATGTCATCCCATATAAATGGCCATATGTTGGAAAGTGATTCACATTATAAAAGACAAGATGTATATGAATTCTGTGAAATTGCAAGCAGGGACATTAATTACATCTGAATTATTGGCAGACCTTGCCCATCCCCAGTACCTTTAGCCAAATGAAAAAAAATATTTAACCTTTGATATGATACATGATGATTCAAGAGCAACTACAAATACATAACTAGACTATTTTTAAAATAAGCTAATTTCATTTTAGACCACTGAATTTGACCAATACATTGGAATAGGATTTGTGCCTGCAAGTTTCAGTCTCATTACTAGTGGACAGAAGTTTGCATCATACAAACTGCAGTCATCCATGATTCTATATTAGCTTGATGATTTGCTAATGTCA